TTCAGTTGTAACAGTAGCATAACCACTGGTAATATATATTTAATGATAACAGATTTATAATATTAGGCTCGAAGAAGTTATTAGTGTAAATGGTTATAGGTGACTTGAAATTGTTGTCATATGAAAGAAATAGATCTAGGCATGATAAAATTAATTGTCGTTGAAATATAAGAAATTTTGCTTGATGAACCAAAAACTTACTTGGCAGAATTCAGTGTCAAGCGCTGTTGATGTCTATTATTTGACTTTACATTAGACACTTTAAAATAAAGCAAAGTATGAATTTTACAATTTATAGTAACAAATAATAAAAATTTCGGTTTTAAATGGTTTTTTTTTTTTTTTCTTTTTTTTTTTTCTTTTTTTTTTTAGTTTTACTTTTATAATCTTAATATAATTGTTCATTTTTTTTTAGTTGTCTTTGTCATCACTTGATTATTTTGCTTACTGTTGAAACATGGTTTTAATTTTGTAAATTTAATATGATGTGAAATTTACAATATTAATCATTTGTCAACAGTTAGAGAGAAGCTGGAAATTAATTAAGAAATGCTGGAAATTAACTTTTAGTTAAGGTAAAAATAGTTTTGTTTATTGGTAGCATAATAAAACCAGTTACTGTTATTTATTGCATGACTTTTTTACTTTTTCTAACATGGTATTTTTAAAACACTTCCTCTCTCTCTCTTAGATGAGACTTAAATAAGAATTAGTATTGAGAATTGTAGAGAGAGAATTGACTGGAGGGTCGTATGGGTTGAATGGGCGGTCGTAACTAAAAACCTTCAAAAATATGGAGAATATTGTAGTTTTGCGCATTAATATCGAGTTACTTAAGTTTTATTTATGTGTTTAACTAATTAGTTAGCTTAGTCTGTATTTGCAACACTTTTGAGGAAAGAAAGAAAACATTTTTATATAAGTAGATCGTTGTTTTACATTTTAATATTTTATTTTATTCACCAGGCCACCATTAAAGCAAAAAGAGGGAAGGAACCTCTTTATTAGAGCCAAAATATTTAGAAAAATTAAATTTCGAGTTACAAAAGGAATTTTTAGTAAATGGTGGAAAATTACCGTTTACTAATAATTTAATGAAATAAAGAGGCCAAATAAATAATATACAAATGGTCTGTGTTGAACAGACTTAACAAGACCCGGGTCGGGTCAGCTTGGTTTACAAATTTTTATGTCTACTTATCTCTTATAATTTTTATTTTAGTTTGTGCTATGATAGCTTAATTTATTAAAAAATTTGTTATACCTATGTTTGATCGTAAATTAAATTTTTTTTTGTTTGAAAGGTATTTGTACTCAGTTGCGTAGTTATAATAAACTTTGTTATTTTTTATAAATTTATTTAAACGTGTGCATTTAACATTTTTGAGTTAACAATTTTCTTTTCTAAAGAACAATTAATCAAGGGGATAACAAAAAATTGATAACTCCTGTATAATATAAGTTAACTTCATTTTAATCTTAATGGTTCGTGTTATAAAAATTATTACAAGGATTTAGTTGACACTTTCGTCTATTTAAAGTATAACCAAGTGTTATTATTTTGCGTCAGTAACTAAAAACGTATTGTGTTAAACTTAGGAAGGTCGATGAAAATGGTTCTGCCTTACACTGTTATGACCTGTGCCATTTGTAAATTACTTAATAATGTTAAGTAGTAGTTGGTAAATTATTTTACCTCCTCATAATTTTTATGTTAATTTTACAGATGGATTAATTTTTTCAAGCTGAAGGCAATTTTCTAAAAGGGTATTAGTTAAGGTTTTGCAAGATTAAATTGTGGAAAACAGCTACTATAAATTAATTATGTAACAGACCGACCGAAACCCGTATTACGGGTTGCCTTTTGCTAGTATCAATAAAACGGTTAGCAGACTTTAACATCCCTCAGAATTAGGCCGTATTTTTCGGTTACCGTTTCTAATTTTATTTATTCTAATAACCACGTGGTAACCGGTTGTGTTTAGATCATATCCCATTCGGAACGATTATTTTTGTTTGCGTATTTTTAATAGCAAGGTAGATAAAAGATTAAAAAGCAAGATAGATAAAAACAATAGTAAATATTTCGTAGGGGTAGTGCAAATCCGCGTAACTTACTAGGATATTTGGATGTTATTAATTTTAACACCAAATATTTATTGTTAAGATTACAAAAAACATGAATAATACCCTTTATACTAAAATGAACCCAAAACCAGTTAAAATAAAAAATATATAAAGTTTTTAACTTCTCCAGTAAAAAAAACGTACCGTAGATACCGTAGATATTATCCAATGCTAGTTACGCGGTTTTGTACTATCCTCGACGATTTAGTTTTCTAAATGACATTGAAGCCTTATTACTATTAAAAAAGCCATATTAAATTTATCTTACACTTAAATAACGGTGCTATTTAATAAAAATATTGAATAACAATAAACAAAACTAACAAAGTGCAATGTTTAAAAATGATTTAAGTACTAAAAATGCACTTAAAACAACGGTCTCTAATTTTAAGTAAACTTTTTTAGGGTAAAACCACCAAATCTAGGCCACTTAATTTTAAACTGCTTCATATGTTACCGCAATTGGCTAAGACTCTTGAAAATATTTCTATACTTTTAAAAAACCTCTCGAGATCATCAAAAATTTCCAAACTTGTCATTTTATGATAAGTTTGGAAATTTTTGTTAATAAATTAAAAAGTTTTAGCACAAATGTTACAAGGCGTAAAAAATACCAAATCATAGCCATTGCGAACTTATTCATGGCCATTAAGTTTTACGATGTAAAAGTAGTGATAATATTTTAAATTAACAACAAAACAAATTTATTGTAAAGAGTTTAAAAAAAGAAGTTCTGCGTAAATTTTTACTTGTGTAAATTTAATTCTTTTTTTTAACAGGTAAACTAACAATTGATTTAAAAGCGCTTCGCAACATTTAAAGTTTTCAAATTAGCAAATGTTTTAAAATGAATAAAAAACGACTCTT